TTCATCTGTTTGACGATGGTGCTTTTCCCTGACTCTCCAGCCCCTGATGGATAAGAGACAAGAAGACAATGTAAACAGGGAGTGTGTGTGTGTGTGTTGTGTGTGTGTGTGTGTGTGTGTGTGTGTGTGTGTGTGTGTGTGTGTGTGTGTGTGTGTGTGTGTGTGTGTGTGTGTGTGTGTGTGTGTGTGTGTGTGTGATGTGTGTGTGAGAGAGAAACTGGGAGAATCAGCCTCCTAAAAACCTAAATGAATATGAAGAGCAGCAGCAGGGTGGAGATTTAAAGATGGAGAATTGGCTGCACCCTTTCTTCCTCAATGTGCTTTCCTTTTATTATTCCTTTCTATCCACCATCTTTCTAGTAAGTCAATCAAATAAATAATTCTACTTAAAGGCTAGTTTCCCACAGAGAATCAATCTCCCACCCCAAACCAATGATACAACACTGCCTGTGCTTGGGCCTCCACTGCTGCATAATGCCATTTTAAAGGCCCCCAATCGGTAGGTATCATAGATTGTCCACCTTGTACCCACTGATTCTTCAGAATTACAGTTAATCCACCTCTTTAATAAGAAAAACCTACCATAGCAGGTTGCTTCAACGTGATGTATTGAGCAGACAGGGTGTGTTTAGTATGGAGAAGGAAGCTAATCAATGCCCATGTATGGGATGTTGGCGTTGTTTTAATATCTTATGAGGGATGTCATGTCTTTATGTATGTCCAGAGCAATCTTCAGTAATGATGGTCATCTTTTACCAGATGTTCACACCCCCCCCCCCCCCCCCCCAACAACACACCTTTCATCACCCCCGAAGAGTTTCATTTCTGCCGTGGCTCTACTGGCCCTACTGTGAGCAATTCAACTCTTACCGAGCAGCAGCAGTTTGACATCTTTGGCCATGGTGACTCCGTCCTCCTTCAGGTTTTTCTCGATGGCTTTGCTCCGATCCAGAGCCGCCCTTTCCTCTGCGCTCAGAGTACATCCCATGGTTAGAGAACACAGCTTGAAAGCGTAACCGAAACCTTGATCCAGAGAAAATTAAAGCAATGAAAGATTGAACGAAGCGTGTGCGCGGAAACAACGCTGTTTGCAAATCCGTTTTTTATTTTCTTGGTTGATTTCCTCCTTTTCTGCGCGGTGTCTTCGATCCCTCTTCCTCTCGCTCTCTGGGCAGCTCCCTCTCGATCGCTCTCAAGCTAGGGGTACGGCTCCGTTAAAGCATTTAAATCACTTTGATCCACGGCGCGAACACAACTCGTTGTAGCCACCGCAGTTTCTCAAACGGGGTCTCGGTGGTGGGCTGTCCGTCCGCTCGTCCTCCGTATCTCTTCGGTGTAAGTGTCGGTAAATCACGGTAACGGTTTTCTCCGCTCGTCGACAGTAGGCTCTGTGTTACTCGGCTGCGGCTCGCATCGTTTGATTCCAGCACTGCTTCTCACGGCGGCGCACAGCGTACTTTCCTCCGTGTAGCTCCTCCGAGGCTGGCGGCGGGGACTCGCTCTGTAACTCTACTGCCTCCCGGTAGCTCCGGTAGGGGCTCGGTCGTCCGTTAGTTCATTCGTTCAATTGCAGGTTGCTGACGTCAGAACCGTGAAAAGAGAGAAGTGGGGAAAGAGGGAGCATCAACTCGAAGTGGCGCGGCCTGGTGGTTCAAAGTAGGCTTCCTTTAGAAGCTTTTTGTCCCAAAATGTGTTATATCAAACAGGTAGAAAGATATTAAACGCCGGTTAAATTTGGTTTAAACATATAATTTAATTCTCAAATCACGTCATGAGATTACACAAAGTAAATGTGTAGGGTCCGTGTACTTTTTGTCAGTTTGATTTTTCGTTTTAAACAAAAGCCAAAAAACGGAAATACCAGCCTTTTTCCGTTTTTTATTTAAAACGAAAAAACGGGAAACTAAAGCCGTTTTTCCGTTGTTGTTGTCTGAATAAAAAGACCGATAACGAGAAAACCTAATTAAAAAAAGGTAAGTGTACGTTTTGTTAGTTTGATGTTTCGTTTGAACCATAGACTGTATATATAAATGGATGTAGTGTCCGTGACGTCACCCATAGGATTCTGCAGAGTTGCCGTGAAGCCCTTAGTAGGCGGAGTCGCCCACTAACGGCTTGACAGCAACGTCAGAGTCTAATCCCGCCTGCTCCAAATAAGGGCAAAGAGGCGGAGCCGAGGCGGGACCTGCTGCCTCCGAACTGGAAGTAAACAGAGCTAGCTTAGGCTAAGAAGCTAAGCTAACATGAAATACATGCATACCAAGTTACTGCTAACAGTGTAGTTCCCCTATATAAACGTTACATTCATAATCAAATGAGACAATCTGCAAGAGAATTAGCTATATTTTGTTATTCTTAATGCTTGTCATCCACACACGTTGAGAAAAGACGGACTCCACCGCCCGGACCTAACGGAGCCGCAGTGGGCTAGCTCCGGGACGCCGGCTGGAGCTAGCCCCCTGCGGTTCCGTTAGCTCCGGCGGCCACCACTGGGATAATTGGGTCCCCTATTAACATTTGCTCCCGTTTAGCATTATGGGCGTCATAGCCATAGACTATAAAAGTCTTACCCAAGGCTGAATCATAAACTAAAATGTATATGTATGCATAAAGGGTTACGTCCTTAGCTGGCTAATAAGTAACAAGCTAAGCTACCAAGCACACAAACACCTGCGAACGGGGTTAACATGTATAATATTATCATTTTAGACTTCTTGGAAGTTCTGTTAGTACATTCAAGCGCACAGCACGACATTTTAATTGTCTGGTATTTGTAACAATATTCTCTAAAAGGCACAATCACCACGAACACGGCTAAAGCTAAAGGGTCAAGTACAGTGCTATGACTAACTAACGTTGTCGCCTCTATGGTTGTAGCCTAGCAGAGTGGACAAGTTGCTGTTAGCTGACAGTGAGGCATGTACGGGTCCATCAACGTGACCACGCCCTAATTTATGCAAACACTTTAAGACCTAATATAAATAAAAGGGTCGTGTTAGAAAACAATTCGCTCACAGATTCATAATCATGAAGGTGGAATCTAACTATATCGATAATAATATTTATTGCATCCATGGGTAGAAACATGTTTTTTTCTGCTGTAAAGTTGGGCATTTTAACATGGGGGTCTATGGAAATTTCTCCTTTCTGCAGCCAGTCCCTAGCGGCCCATGTATGAACTGCAGTGTGTGGCACTTCCGTATTGGCTTCCCGGCTGTTCCCCAGAGTTTGCTGCTTGGTTTGAACCAAAAAATGAGAAAAATGAAAATACCAGCCTTTTTTTGTTTTAAATCAAAAACGAAAAAACGTGAAACCAAAGCCGTTTTCCTGTTTATGTTGTCTGAATCAAAAACGGATAACAAGATAAAAACGGTCTGATTTTGGTTTTTGATAACAACTTCATTCAATGTTCCGTTTTGTATTGAAGAATGAAGAAAAGCAGTCCGCTTGACCGGAAGTTAAAGAACATATTTCAAAATAAAAGACACAAGGCTATAATGGCAATGCTGTAAAAGACCCATAAGTCTGACGACCCTTGGCCCCCCTGCTTCCGGCACCCATGCTGACGAGGATACGTTTATTTCTGCATTCACATGCAGATATGCGTTTATAGAGATTAATACAAGTATGCAAGCTCTGGGCATAATTGTATTCCTTGACTTCCGGTTTGTACTGTGTTGGCAAATCCAGTGTCCAGCTTGTCGCTGTGTGACAACGTAATGTTTGTTGCATACCTGCAAGATTTACCTGTGACAAATGTCAGCGATGTGAACAGAACTGTCGCCCTACTTTCACCTGCACCCAGCAGCAAGCGGGAGAACAATATATCATACAGTCGACCCCTAAAACAGTTCACACAGTAATGGAACAGTTGTTAAGCATTATTTTGTCCAACTAGTCTACATTATGAATTTGATGTTTGTCTAAACTGCTAAGAAGCTGACAGCTCAGTTAGAACAGAAAGACATGCAGGCCATAATCACTAGACGCTCAAAAGAGGAATGTGTGTGTAAGGCTTACATGAACTGAATTGAAACATTGTCCATTAGTTGATTAATAAACAAGACATTCAAGTCAAAGTTTTAGGCATTTTCATTTGTAGCACGCTGTAAATATGGACTATGAATGAACACATGCAATGTGGAAACACACAAATAGGTTTATTCTCAATACTCATAACCGTATCAGACACAATGACTTTACTGAGAGTGAAGATGACATGAACATAGTTACTGTATGGTACTGAAGACAACATACAGTATATTGCATTTACCTCTTCCTCTAACTCTCTCTCCAATATTGGCCTCCATTGTTGTGCACAACAAAGTGTTCAAGCTCAGGTTTCTAAGTGATATCATTTTAACATGTGCATTCTGGGTGCAGGGTTAGTAGGGCTAACCCATATCTGTTCAATAGATGAAAGGCAACTTGAGTTTAATAATTGTGCCAAAAGTACCAGTTTGTGTCTTGGTAATTGCACAAAGCCGTAATAGGCCACAAATAATCACATTTTTCTAAAAACACAGCAGCAAAACCTATTTTATCCACCCAAAAATGAAGGCCCACCTGAAAAAAAAAATCGCTATTTTTAGCATTAAATAATGTACACTTAAACTGGTATAGCTTTTTTGGTGGAGAAAAGAAATGTTGCTTTTGCCCACGTCCTCAGCAGTACATGGCTCTGCTGTGCCGGGGCTCCTGTATGTTTCTCCACACGACTACTGTAGGTAGTACACTGATTATGGATATATACCACACACTACCCCACTTCAAAAGACCAGAACTATCCCGTGTGTAGTTTTAGTATTTGAATTACAATGACATTATTCTCAGACTTGCCATAGTTCTTGGTTTGTACCACTGCTGCTCTGCTCTGTACAGCTGAGTACTGGGGACCCACTGGGAGTCATGTGACTGGAGCAGGAGAGTAACACACGTCACACCTGCAGTCATGATGCTCCAGCTCAATGGGGGTCGAGTCTTTCAGCCCCACCTGTAAGAAGAGAAACAAAATAAATACGTATTCAGTTTGCTTTGTATTATTTCTTTTAGGGTAACATTTTGGTTTAATAACATTGTGCTATTTTAAGGAGTAAATAAGTCATATATTTTTTCCTAAATGTTTTCTATACTTACAACTTCTTATACATACTGATATGAATTGATTTACTTTTATACTATGAACGAAGAAAAATGACTCTTTAACAACAGAACAGGAACAAAACACAACTGTGACCTCTGTGCAGCACACACAGACCAGTCAGTCCATTTCTGGGGAGTAGCTACCTTGTGCTAGTTATATTAAAGTTGATGTTTTACTATTGGCTGTGTCTAACCTGTCTGAAATTAGCCAAATCCCCAGGAACATGTTGAGCCAGACGGTAACTAAGACAGTAACACTTCATCCTGACCTCACTGTGGGGCCTGTCCTCATGGACCTGTAGCATAACACCCTGACACTAAAATACAAAGTATGTTCATTAAGAATGCACATACTGTCCCTCCTCTGTCTTTCAATGTAGTCAAACTTGTTGAAGAAAAACAATAAGTTTAACGTTACAGAAATAAAAGCTTAATTACTCACCCTCCTAATTGTAGATGTAACTTCACAAGTACAACTTGAAACATTTCTCCCGCTTGCTGCTGGGTGCAGGTGAAAGTAGGTCGACATTTCTGTTTACATCGCTGACATTTGTCACAGGTAAATCTTGTAGGTATATCACAACAAACATGACGTTGTCACACAGCGACAAGCTGGACACTGGATTGACTAAATAATTACACACTCTTATTTACATTTGACACGTTATTCAAAACCGACAGCCTGTGTGTTGTTTGCAAAACACTGCCACTGAAATACCACACTCAATTATCAAGCCCCTGCACCCAGAATGCACATGTTCAAAGCCATGTAACCAATTAGATCACTTAGAAACCTGAGCTTGAACACTTTGTTGTGCACAACAATGGAGGCCACTTTTGGAGAGAGAGTTAGAGGAAGAGGTAAATGCAATATACTGTATTTTGTCTTCACTACCATACAGTAACTATATGTTCATGTCATCTTCACTCTCAGTAAAGTCATTGTGTCTGATACTGTTATGAGTATTGAAAATAAACCTATTTGTGTGTTTCCACATTGCATGTGTTCATTCATAGTCCATATTTACAGCGTGCTACAAATGAAAATGCCTAAAACTTTGACTTGAATGTCTTGTTTATTAATCAACTAATGGACAGTGTTTCAATTCAGTTCATGTAACCCTTACACACACTCTTTTGAGCATCGAGTGATTATGGCCTGCATGTCTTTCTGTTCTAACTCAGCTGTCAGCTTCTTACTGTCCTAATGTGCACAATGTAGTGACTGCTTTTTTGTCTTTTGTTTTCTTAGTTATGTTCTCTGTATTTTATATGTTTGGGTTATGTGTAACGTTGCTGCCTTCTTGGCCAGGTCAGCATTGCAAATGAGATTCTATCTCAATGCTACAGTGGCCCTGAAGTGCAAGACACCACAGCATTTCAGAAAACGCTGCAGTATTTCACTAAACACCACAGCATTTCACATTGGACGGAAAAGGTATTCCTTTAGGGAGAACACTTCTTGTTTGTGATTGGACAGAGCCAGCC